ACACATTTGAACTCGTGACTAAATCCCCCAGCTTACCTATTCTCTGCGTCTCCAACTTCTCCTGGATGGCGACCACATCACCCGCCACGCCTCAACCCTCCAGCTTATTCCCCGCACCCGTCTTCACTGGCCAGAACCAAAAGCACACCTAGGTCACTCCAACGATAGTTAACTGTAGTCCTTGGAGAATCAACATCGTTGCGACCATGAGTAGAAATGTTACCGTTTCATCAGGCTACTTAGTACTTATTGCAGACCAGCTCCAAGCTACCTGCACTGTACAACCAGAGCTCGATGTAAGATTCAGGTCAACTCCGCGTCAAGTTCTCTGCTCCGAGTCGCGATTAGGGTCGAAAACATTGAAGCCCTCAATATAAAGCACATGTACGCATGTATCATATTGCAAAGGTACAAAAACACAAAAACACAAAAAAGGCTGCAGCATCGCATGGTAATAAGTTATTTAACTACGGTTCTCCGCCCTCGCAACGGGGAAGGGATCCCGGATTTTAGGTAGGTAGGTACCCTGACGGCGCGCGTCGTCTACATAGCTCGAAGGAGTGCGCGTCGTGTGTAGTACTTATTTGTATTGTGTCTGTATGTATCGTCTGAGTGGTGGGTGGGTGTCCATAATGCGATAGCCGAGGCCGGAGCCATATGTTGTATATCGAGGGGGACATGTAGCGTCACGGTCGAGGCCATATGTGTGTGGGTGCGAACGAACGCCAGAGCCGGAGCGTTGCGCAACGCATATATATATACCGGGGATCCCGAAGAATATACGAGGTGGTCCAACGCCGCACAAGTCGGAACGTGGACGCCAGGGCCCTCCCTGGTGGGCTGGTGGACTGGAAGTCTACGACCCCGCCGCGCGCGCCGCCTCCATGCGCCTCTTCCCAACGTGCGCGTGGGCGGGGGTGTGCTCCTCAGCGGGCGCGATGACCGCAACGATGACCGAGATGTCTGCAAAGAGAGCGAGATGGTGAGCTTGGCCTGGTCCTGGGTTTACTAGATCAAGGAGAAACGCACCATCATTCTTCCCCCCGCGATACGCCCTCCCCGTCTCCCTCGCCCTTCTCGCAAACGGCGTATCGTCCTCGTCCTCCAGCTCCGATTTGAACCCGTCCTCCTCGCTCTTCCCCGCTTCTGGGACCGCCGACGAAGTAGAAGCCGAAGCCGCCGCCGCCCCACCAACAACACACCGCCTCCCCGCCTCCCTCCCCGCCCGCCGCGTCGCCACCCGCCGCGCGCGCGAACACAGCGCCTCGCTCAACATGCCCGCCAACGTCCGCCGGCGCAGGCGCGCCGAGTCCACCTGGCTTTGTCCTCCCATACCTTCTCCCGCTCCTGCTCCCGCTTCCGTTTCCGTTTCCGCCCCACCGTCCGCTCCAAACACCGGAAACGCGGTGGATGAGGATGCGCAAGACTCGCCCGCGCCCGCGCCCGCATCAGCCCACGCGCGCCCCACCCGCCCCACCTCCTCGAGCACATCCTCGTCCCACAGATTATCGCTCAGCCCATCGCTCGCGAGTATCACGATGTCCCCCGCGCGCACAGGCAGCGTGAAGAGGTGCGCGGCAGACGAGGGCGTGACCTCGCCGTGTGTCTGCGTCTGCGTCTGCGTCGACTTGGCGCCCGTCGTTGGGCTTCCGTTCCCACTTCCGCCTGCAGGCGGTGTACTCTTGGCCGCCGACGCCCACCAGCTCCCGCCCCTGCTCCCCTCCCTCGAGGGTGTCGTGGAATTGAAGGTGGCGCCGCCCGAACTCGCGGTCGCAGCGCTCAACTGCACCGGCGTATTCCACCGCCACCACATCTCCTCGCTCCGCCACTGCACCGCGCCCTCCCGCACCAGCATCCCCATGCAGTCCCCCACGTGCGCGATCTTGAGCACCGGCGTCAGCTCCGCGTCCGCGTCCTCCTTCGCTGCAGTTGCAGTCGCGCTCGCCGCAGCCGTGGAAGTGGAAGTGGAAGTGGAACCGGACCCCGCGGTACCAGACGCAGAAGCCAAGACCTCGAACCCCGCCACCTCCCCCCGCGGCACGTAATCCAGCACCGCAACCAGCGCCGTGCTGCTCCCCGCCAACAGCGGAATCGTCTTCGGCTCCTGCTCCTCCTTCGCGGGTTGTGGTGTGTGTGCGCGCATTTCAGTCCGCTGCGTATGCGTGTGCGTAAAGGGCCACGACGGCGGCGGCGGCGGCGTCGCCGTCCGCAAACTCGCGCTCGCGCTCGCACTCGCGACCGAAAGCGGCGACGGCGGGCTTGCGGGCAAGCTCGTCGACATCATCCCCCTCTCCTCCCAATCCCTCTCCGTCGTCCGTGGTCGTGGCCGTGGTACCGCCGTCGATGCCGCCGGCGCCGAATTGCGTAGCTGCACCGGTGTGGAGTCGTGTATCCCCGGGGAAGCGTCGAACGCGGAGGAATTCAAGTCGGAGGACGGCGCGGGCACCACATGCGCACCGAGCGTCCTTTCATACGCGCGCTCCAAAATGCGCAACACGTCCAGCCCGTCCGCCAGCTCGTCCAGCTCCGCCGCCAGCAGCTCTTCCGTCCCCGTCTCCGCCCCGTCGTACTCGTAGTCGCTGTACTCGTTGTCCTCGTAGTATGGGGAAGCGGAAGTGGAAGAGGAAGACGACGCGTCCCGCCACGGGTTATCGTACAGCGGGTCGTGCCACGGCGCAAAGGGCGTCGACGATGCCGAGTTGTATGCCGACGCGAAGTTGGCGTTGGGGGCCGAGCCATAGGCGGACGCAGACGCAGACCCAGACGCAAACGCCGACGCGGGCTCCTGCCACGGGCCCAAGCTCCCCCCTGCCCCTGCTGCGGCGGACGAAGACGCCATCGGATACGGCGCAAACCGACTATACCCTGACCCCGCGCGCCACGGCGTCACCACCGGCGGGCTCCTCGAGCTCGACGTTGACGCATGTGGGTGTTGTTGCGCGTGTGTTTGGGAGGAGTGCGCGTGCGAATGGGGATGCGACGCCCGATCGACCTCATCGGCGCAAAAGTGCATCAGGCGGCGCGCGAAGAGCGCGGAGGCGCTGGGGCCTGTGGGGGGTGCTGCAGGGGATTACATGTAATTAGCAAATGCTGGTTGATGTGCAGAGACGAGAGGAGAGGAGAGGAAGAAAGAAAATGATATCCAGCAACGGTGTATAAAATAAATAAAACGTAAAAGAGAATGGAACGGCCAGGAAGACGCATGCTCGATCGCACGCACGCACCCCGCTCGAGAGAACCGCGGTGCGCACCCGCAAGACAGAAGAAGAAGAAAAAGCCTCCCGTGAGGCGACGGGGGAAAATAAGCACCAAAAGAAAAGGCGGAGGGCACAACCGGAAGAGAGAAAGGATTGAGAAAGAAAGTGCTGGCGCCGGCGCCGAGTTCCCGCTTCCCGCAACCCAGTCAAGTCAGCGCCAAAGCAAGGCAGTCGAGGATCCGCACCCGCACCCGCGCCAGGGGTCGGGACGGAGCCCGAGCGGAGGGCGGGGGAGTCCGTTCCGAGTACCTCCGTATATACGCAGAGAAGGTTGAGCCACGAGTGCGCGGGGTGAACCTGAACCCTAGATTGAGAGGTACCACGGCGAGTGAAAGGCCCGCAGAAATATCGGCTCGTCCGCAAAAGAAAAGAAAGACACTGAAGGGAACCCACCTGCATGCTTCACCCTCGCCCACCCACCAACGCCATCGGCCACGCCCATCGCATTCTCGCGCACAAAATACGCATCCTCGCCCACCTGCACCGCCAACGGCGCATCCGTCCTCTCCGCATACCCACCCGCACTCGTATGCATCGCCCTTACCCGCTGCCCGCGCTTCGGGATCCCATACGCGCCCACATCCAGCGTATACCTTTGCCCCCTCCGCCGTCCCGCCCGTCCGCCCGCCGCCGCCGGGGCACTCGCGGTGTGCCGCCCCGCATGGTTCGGCGTGCAGGGGAACAAGAGCGCGCCGAGCTGCGCGGGGTGCGGGTGGTGGTGGTTGGTGTTGTGGCCGTTCCCCGGCGTGTGCGGGGGCGCCACGAGGGCGAGCGGGGCGTCGCGGCCCGCCTGTGTGGTGTTGGGCCCCTCGACCTCGCCGCGGGCCTCGATGGGGAGGCGGTGGGTTGTGAGGCGGGTGTTGGGCGGGGGCGGGCCGGTCTGCGGGGGGCCGTCGAAGAAGGAGGAGGCGAGGGAGAGGGCGCGCGAGGTCGACGCGGCCGAGTTGGAGCGGACGCGGGGCGCGGAGACGCGGGGCAGCGCAGAGTACAGTCGCGCGTGCTTCATCGTCGTGGTTGAGACAGAAATGCGGGGAACCCGGTTTATTCCGACAGGTGATGTCACGCTTCTTGACTCTCTTCTTCCCCGCACAAGCCCGACTTATCGACCTCTATCGCCGCCATCGGCCTTCCGCACCGCACATCCTGTTCATTTCTTAACTGCTACATACTCCGTCGCTGCGCCAAACTTGTGGGTTATGACTTGCAGTGTGGCTCATGGCGGTCATACCTGACGACGATTTAATAACTTACGGCTTCAAGTTGACTCGCAATCTCAGGCTGTCTGGACCCTGCAATCCTGAACTGAGTCCCGATTCGGAGGTCAAATGAACTGTTCCCTTGTCCGAAATACTTGTGCTTCCACGTCTCAATATATCGGCTTCCGTTTGCTCACTCATCCTGGCGGTGTAACGGTAACACATCCTCTCCGAATTAGTGAATGCATCAAGTCTAAATGTGAGGAAGACCCTCGTTCGAATCGAGGCCAGGCCATTCGATGGAGTTCCACAGCAATTTTTTTTCTTTCTGCCCAGTCAACCTCCTTGTTTCCTCCCCCCGCGCGAAGCCTCTTTCTTTCTCCCCCTGGTTTGGTATGTCTAAGTATGCTACTCTCGAGTAGAGAAATTGAAACAGGAATGAGTTCACACCGAACTAAACCTTCGTCGAGGGAATTACATATAATTTCTCAACATGGCATACTTTAAGAGTGTCCATATATCGCTTAAATCATACAAGCAAACCACCGGCCTGGTGGTGTAGCGGTAACACATCCTCTCGGTTTATAGCCTTTCGAGGATGTTGTCAGGAAGTCCCTTGTTCGAATCAAGGCCAGGCCATAGTCAGGTTCTAAGACTTTTTTTTTGTCTTTCTGCCCACTCAGACAATTCTCTCTTTTTCCCCAACGAAGAAAATCCTAAACTTGTGTTCGTCTTACTCCAAATTTCATGCTCAATCAATTTCAACAAGAGTTGGAATCGGAGTTGGAATTGGTGAACCTCAAGTGGCAGTAGGGATTTTTCAACAGGCATATAAATACTTCAGGGATGCCCAGGCATTCCTCAGCTGATGCAAGCAAAACAATGGCCTGGTGGTGTAGCGGTAACACGTCCTTGCGGTTTGGCTTCTTTGGAATATGCTGTCAGGAAGTCCCTTGTTCGAATCAAGGCCAGGCCATATTTGCATTTTTTTTCGCCCCGAGTTTTCACTCAGACAACTCTCTTTCTTCCCCAACGAAGACAATCCTAAACTCGTCTTGGTCTTCTTACTCTAAATTTCATACTCAATCAATTTCAACACTTGAATAGAAGCGTTGGAATTGGAATTGGAATTGGTGAACCTCAAGTGGTATCAGGATTCAGGGATTTTTCAACATGGCATGCCCAGGCCTTCCTCAGCTGACACAAGCAAATCAATAGCCTGGTGGTGTAGCGGTAACACGTCCCCTCCGTTTATAGCCTTTCGAGGATGTTGTCAGGAAGTCCCTTGTTCGAATCAAGGCCAGGCCATAATCGGGTTCAAACATTTTTTTTGTCTTTCTGCTCACTCAGACAACTCTCTCTCTCTTCCCCAACGAAGACAATCCTAAACTCGTGTTCGTCTTACTCAATCAATTTCAACGCTGGAATGGAAGAGTCGCAATTGGAATTGGAATTGGTAAACCTCAAGTAGTATCAGGGCCTGTGTCCGAAATGGCGCGTCTCAATATATCTGCTTCCATGGGCCCATTCATCATGGCCTGGTGGTGTAGTAATGGTAACACATCCTCTCCAAATTAGTCCGTGAGAAGCACGATGTAAGGAAGACCCTCGTTCGAATCGAGGCCAGGCCATTCTAATTCTTGAGCGAATCTTTTTTCTTTCTACCCAGGCAACCTCCCTGTTTCCTCTCCCCACGCGAAGCCTCTTTTTTTCTCCCCTTGGTTTGGTATGTCTAAGTATGCTACTCTCGAGCAGAGAAATTGAAACAGGAATGACTCCACATTGAACTGAACCTTCGCAGAGCCAAATTACATATTATTTTTCAACATGGCATACTTCAGGAGTTCCATATATTGCTTAACTCATACAAGCAAACCAATGGCCTGGTGGTGTAGCGGTAACACGTCTTTGCGGTTTGACATCTTCCTCAATGTATTGTGCGGAAGTCCCTTGTTCGAATCAAGGCCAGGCCATATTTCCATCTCCATGTTTTGTTTTTTTTTGCTTCTGCCCACTCAGACAATTTTTTCTCTTCCCCAACGAATGCAATCCCAAATTCTTCTTCAGATTTCACGCTTACAGTACTCAATTAATTGCAGCACTTTGAATAGACATGGAATCGGAATTGAATGTTGAGTGGTATTAGGCATTTCAACATGGCATGCCCACGTATTCCTTTAGCTGATGCAAGCAAACCAATGGCCTGGTGGTGTAGCGATAACACGTCCTCTCACAATAACTCCTCCAATGTTTACAATCATTTAAGAGGAGGTCCCTTGTTCGAATCAAGGCCAGGCCATCGGAGTCCTCCAACTCCATTTTCTTTTTCTTCTGCCCACTCAGACAATTCTCTCTTTCTTTCCCAACGAAAGCAATCCCAAATTCTTCTTCAGATTTCACGCTTACAGTACTCAATTAATTGCAGCACTTGAATAGACACAGAATCGGAATTGAACATTGGGTATTAGGCATTTTCAACATGGCATGCCCGTGTATTCCTTAGCTGATTGATGCAAGCAAACCAATGGCCTGGTGGTGTAGCGGTGACACGCCCACTCGGTTTAAAAGTGCTTGCAGGATATCGTCAGGAAGTCCTTTGTTCGAATCAAGGTCAGGTAAATTTTAGCCCTGTGCTACATTGAACCATGTCGTGCAATGGTTAATCTGCCCAATAGTGACATGAATTGTTCTTCAGAAACAGTAGAAGGCCCAGTCCGCGGTGCAAGGGCAGGGGAAGAAGGCTAAAAACATAATGGGCCAAAATGAACCGTGGGAAGAAACCTATGTACTGACAAATCGGATAAATCTTGTCTCATAATGAGAATCTACTATGAGATTGTGAGTCAAGCGGTTAGTTACTGGGAGTACATAATATACATTGACTTATACAAGACTCATTCAGCTCAACTCTTCAACTCTTCGGTTCGAGTTGATCTGTCATCATGATCGCTCGTCCCCGAACCGTCTCTTTATTCGGTCCTGCCGTGCTTCCACTGCAATCCGACCTCCCCTAGGGGCCCTTCTTTCATCTCCAGTGGCAGCAGCAGTAGCCTCTTGGTCTGCCCACTTCCTTCTGTGCATTGCTGAAAAAGTCCCCGGATTCGTCGTTGGTGACGACGGGTCAAGCGCGCGCTCGACGTCGGGAATCTCCCAGCTACTTTGAATGCTGCTTGAACTGTCGTTCACGTCCCCTATGAGAGACGAGGAGCCAGCGAGACCCGTAGGGCAAAGCCTGACCAAATCGCGGATTGGATGATTCCGGGGAGCATGACACACAGCCAAAATTTCCGCCTCGCTCAGCGGCCCGCTGAGGTCACTCTCCGATCCTATCGCTACGAAAAGGCCCCAACCGTCAACACTGAGAGCGCCAAGTTCTACGTCCGTTCGGCGCACCTCCCGGCCCTTGGCGCTGGGGTTCCCACACTCTTTCAGCACCTTTCTGAGGACCTCAGTCCCACTCGTGCATGAAGAAATGTCAACGGTGAAACTTATGTCCTCGCAGGAAAGCGTAAATCGGAAGTGATTGGCGGCAAAGGTCGGATTCAGTGGAGAAGGGAATTTGGAGGCTCCGACATGACTTGGCGGGGAAAACGTGGACGAGGTAATGTCCAGGTCGACACCCGGAACGAGTTCAATAGAGCCGCGGTCCTGCACCGAATCAACGAGCGTTTCTGAGTCGCTGATGCTCTGCATGCTGGTGATACCTGTAACAAGAGAAAATATGTAATATGGCCAGCCCGTTTCCGCGGCAGTGCTCACGATCGGTGGGGGCTTGAGGCAGGATTCTGTCCGTAACTTGAGTAATCTCCTCGCCGATACTCTCGTAGTCAAACACACCTCATCATCGAGACTCCCAAAACCGACTTCGTTAAAGCGATCTAGCGTCAAGTGTAAGTTGCAAATTTGATATTCACATTCGAGACATGCCTGTGGCAGGACTCGCACAATCTTGTCAGGTCACGCGTAGTGTTCTAATTTCTGCTGGTGGACGAAGCCGAGTCGATGCTTCTAATTATGCCTTGCCCAGAGAGCGTCGAGTTGAAAGTGCGCACTGACCGCGAAGATGTTTAGGCCGAGAGGTAGTGGAATGGATGAAGAACGGGAGCGCAGCCTTCGTAAGGAGACGGTATCCAAGGCCGAGAATAGCAGAGTTGATCACAGTCAAGACTCAAGACTGACAGTGAGTACAAACAAATAGTGATCATGTGGCCAGTCTTGCGCGACTAATAGTGGGGGAGAAAATTAGCAGAAAAGTGGTTTCATTGGGAGAGAGGTGAACCGAGCCTCAAGCTGAGAGCGTGACCGTCGAAGAGTGCATTTCGGGCCGATCAATCCAACCGTGGGAATAAATTCCTCTTTAACGACGACGTGCAGCACTCTGTATGGACTTGCGCCGGCGTCGAAGGGGTCTCGGAGCCCTTTCTTGCATTCATTCCACACCCGCCTCCTTTACTGACGCCTCGCTTTTTCCCCCTTGCAGAACATTGCTGGGCTTCTACCACCCTCGACTTTTCCGAGATCACGGCGGGCCATGGCCCAACCCCCATCGACGCCAGCACGATCGTCATGGCGTTCTTTGACCAGTTCACCAAGCCCTGAGCTCGTAAGGCATATCTCCACGACACCGGAGTCTGTTATGCTGACTCGCCATAAAAGCAAGCAATAGTGGAGCAGGTTGATCTTTGCAACTTTTGTGTTGTGAATTTGGCTGAATTCCAGCCTGTAATAATACCCCCTACCAACGGGATGTACTGTCGCTACAACTGAGAAATGGGCCACACTGATCGATGCATACAGTTATTCCGTGATTCAATTATCAACTTCACAGGGAGCGGGGTTCGACAAAAACGAAATACCGACAGAGGTCGTCCTCTTTGCCTCCTTCAGTCCGTTCCCGACAGAACATATTTACAGCCCCTTGCGTGGCTCTAGAGCACGGCTCGCTTCCCTCTGCGTTTTGACGAGAAGAGCTCTCGGCGTTCAATTTCTCCATAGATCCCAGTTCATCGTATATAAGGATTTGTGCTCAGCAGCAAGATGACTTGCTGTGTTTTTCAGGCTTTTTCCGGCAGGACATCTCGCATAACAGCAAGTTCCCCAACCGCATGTAGTAAAGTTATAGTTGGGCAAGTGACCACCAGTAATTAATTGGCCAGAAATGTCATTAGGGGAGTTCACGGTAGGGCGGATTTTCCTGTTTGTGAATAAATTTAATCCCGGGATGGAACAATAATTTCTACAAAAAAAAATATTCCACAAGCATGATTTAATCGCGCTTGTGGAATAAACATATTTTTGTGGCGCATGGAAGGAATTAACGAGAATATATCGCGGAATATTCAAACGGGGTGATCACGGATTTATTCCACAAACGATGATTTTATTCATCCAACCAGTTGAATAAATTTATTCACAAACAGGAAAATCTGCCCTACCGTGAACTCCCCTATTCCGTCAATAGAAACACATTGACGAGAAGGCAGAGCTGGGCTCACACTTTTGGGCGGAACCGCGAGCGTCGAGCGCTACCCACTCCAATCAACGAGTGTTATACCGGCGAGTGCAAGAAAATCGTCCGCGGGGAACCGCTCCCACGTTCCGTTAACTCTCCTCCAAGCATTTTCACCTGCAAAGATCAGTATCTGGATGACAAGGCCAGGTTTTACTTGACGCACCCAATCGACAAGCTCGCAATGTTGAACATAAATCTCCAAAATCGTGCACCGTCAGCTGGTCCTCTGCTTCGGTTGCCCCAAAGGTGTTACAGCCGTCCTCTTCGTCGAAATATAGTTCCAACGCGAAGAATTCAAGACCAATGAAGCGTGGGAGCCATTTCTTCACATGTTGGATCTTATCCTGGCTGGAATGAGCATAGCGCCAAGGAAAAAGAACGGGAGACTTACGTCGGGTCTATGTGGATCTTCCGAGTCGGGGTCGTCGGGATCCTCGAGCACGGTGACCACCCGCAGTGTTTTGGCGTGTGGTATATGCATGGACGCAGAATCCATGATTGGCGGAAACTCGAAGTGGCCACAGTAGATGGAGCACACCAACGAGTTATCTCGGCGGGTCGTTGCCTTGAGAGCAAGGAATATCGGCTCGGGAGGCCACATGTCGGCCTTGCCGCCAAACTCCCACTCCAGTCTGGCCTCTTTCAAATCATCGGCGAGAATCCTGGGGAAGATCTTCGCAGAAGCACGTATGCGCTGGAGATCAGGGAGCGGAATTCGTGCGGCTGTCGACGGCCAACTTGGTCTGAAACGTGCCAAGTCAGCAATGTTAACAGACCTCAAGGTCGGGTGACGAGCAAGGAAGGATGATAGTGTGTCAAGGTCCTCGTTGGAGTCCCAATGTCGGTCGAAGGTATGTAATCTACAGTGGAGAAGACGAGGGAACGTCAAAGAGAGGTATGGGAGGGTGCCTCGGATGTCGAGGCTCCGAATTTCGAGCAAAACTTTCATGCACTTGAACAGTGCACGTGGCACAGTGAACCTGTCAGGGAGACTGTTAGGCATGATATCTGCTCTGAATGAATACTCACTCGTTTACAGGAGGAGCGTATGTGTCAAATGTAAGCGATCGGACCAACTTTGCAAACTTGGCCGTGTAGGAGGCGATAGTAGAACAAAACGCCTTGGTGGAGGCGCCAGTTTTAAGGTCCACAACGCGATACAAAATCGGAACCCCGAGGCCTTCGAACAGCTTTGTAGCTCTACACAGAGAAGCCTGATCGCGGGGTGGTGCGGCTTGAATGATTTCGGAGATGACCTCGTTGGGGAGCCATCGCACTATAGATTTGGATGCTCGACGAGTCAAGACCATAACTTTGCCTTTGTCTTTGTGGGAGGAGGTTGGTAGCAACGGCCTTGAAAAGTGAGGAACGTGGTTAATGTAAGGCAGTTGGTGGATAGGGGAAGGACGACCTGGCCATCAATCGACGGTCATCAAACTGCAACTTGCATCGTGAGAATAAACCATTCGACTCTACTGTAAGTACTTACCAGCTGCCCTGGAAATCCCCACCCTCGAACGTATCCAATCGAGATTTCAATAGACAAGTTGGTTCAACGCACCCTCGACAATTGGGTTGGGCCAGCGAAAAGATGAATCTGAACTTTTGAAGTCAAAGTGCCTGACCGATGCTTCGAGAGTGACTTAGGCACCGTGTTTTATGCGTGCTTAAATCGAGTTAAAATGCCGTCAGAGATACGGCGGAGGGATTTGAGAGGAAACAGTTTCCGGCGCGAGGACGGTAAACAGGTCGCTCATCCATGCGTCGTGCCATTTCTCAATCTTAAC